AAAAAAAAAAAATCAAAATTATAAACGGATTTTTTCTTCTGACTTTTTTATTTGGTAGTTATTTTTTTCTTTTTGTTTGTACTTTTGTTTTTACTTCTCTTTATTTTTAGTTTATTAAAGTCGCTTTTTAAACAAGAGAAAGCTATTGTCATTGACACCACTGCTATCGCTTTTTGGTACTGCGGGTTCATAGCTTATAACAATAATAGTAGCAAAAAAATTGGCGAAAATTTATATGGGCTTTTATTGGCAGCATAAAGAAGTCCATTATTCTATATCCATCACTAATAACCAATAGAAAGCAAATAGTTTATTTGTTTACCGTATGAAGTGTGGCGAAAGAAAAGTAAAATAAAGCAAAAGATTTTGTAACTTTTCTGTTCAATTGTTATACGATAGCGATTGAACTAAACAAAGAGGGACAGGCTGAACGTACAATGTGACCTAATTGCTACTGTATATGCCTGGTGAGCGAGATGTCATAGTCGCGTTTATCGTTACCAAAGAACAGTTAAATAGGAATTACTAAAGCATAATTCCTTATTTTTTGCAATGTCAAACTTTCAATGGCTAATGCAACATTTGTTACATTTATTATACTGTTTATTTGGTGTTATTTTTGCAGGTGGAAAGGCCAATTTCAATGAAAAAAGAAGGCATACAGACACGTAACCGTAAAATTAGTACCAAATGTAAGAACAAAAAACGGAATCCACAAGAACCACAATTTTACGATATGATAAAGCCGCAGCCGACACCATACGGTGATATGAAATTTCACATTCCGACGGCGCATGCTTATATCCCAGCAGCTACACAACCGGCATATTCGACGCCATTTTTGTTTCATGCTCAATAAACCGTAAGATAGTTGTTATTGTAAAAGTAGTATTTATGTGTATTTTTCTTCTTCTTCTTTTTTTCTCCTTCTTCTTCTTCATTTTTCTATGTATTTGTGTTTGTATTCATTTTTATATGCTTGTGTTTTGTGTGTTTCTATGCGTGTGACATACAGATTCATGAAGCTATCACAGATATGTGTGTGTGTTTATTCAACCTACCTGCTGTTATTTAGCTTCAGGAATCCTCAGGAAGCTGTGATTAATTTTTTTTTTATTCGTTTCTTTTTGCTATTATTATTATTACCAATTTTTTTTTTATTTCTTTATTTCA